TAATAATTTTTTTAAGTTTTTTGTTTCTGATTTTATCTTTTCTTGATGACAACTATTAAACTCTATTAAACTCTATTAAACTTTAGTATAATACTTAATAAGTGCAATAAGAGCTTACGAAATACAAAGGCTTTCATAGATACATCGATATAAAAACAGCAATATCACATGTTTACGTTATAGTGGTTAATCGTCGAAATGGTTGGAAATCACACTATCGATACTCCCAACACTTATGACTGGGTATTTTCATTTTCACGATGACTAGGGTACTTCGTTTCACCATGACTAGGGTACATCGTTTCACTATGGCTAGAGTACATCAATAGCCCTAGCGTCACCAACAAAAAAAATGTAGCTTACGCCATAGTTAAAAAAGCACCGAGGCGTGATAACGATAAATTGTGCATGGCAATGGTAATTTGTTATTACTAATTGGTTCTGAGTTTTAATTATGACAAGCTACATTTTGTGTGGGCGATGCTAGTGCTGTTAGGGTACGTCGTTTTTGTTTTCACCATGACTAGAGCTCTAAAAAACTGAAATTAATACACTCCTGAAATGAATACACTACTACTTTCAGTAAACAATAAAAAAGGAAATAGATTAAGTTTTACATAAAAAAAAAAAAAAACAAAAAATTCTTGAAATAAGCATGAATAAATCTTACGTAATTTATTTTAAAACTTTGTTAAAACTTTATATTCATTGTAAATAAAAGAAGTTTTGTACAGTGTACAGTGTAAATAAAATTTTTTTTCTGGACAGAGGTATATACAATAAATTCCAGTATTCTTTTTTAAACTCCGAACATTTATTTCTCTTTTTCAAACACTACAATACCTTCCTTCAATTCATTTAAAAAAAAAAAAAGATTAGATTGAGAATTTGCCGTCAGATGAGTATAAACTTTGCATACGTACGCAGATGTAGCATATGCATGCATTTTTATTTTTGTATAAATTGATTGTTTCACACATGATAGGAAATTATAATACGATACAATTAATATATGAAACAATATGAAATAGATAAAGTTTTTTTCGCTTTGGGAAAATACCTGAAAAAGAAATTAGGACAAGAAACAAAAGCGTATGTTTCAAAAAATGAAAGAAATTCTCATATGAAATTCGTAACAAATTAAGAGATTGAAAAAATCCAAAAAGAAAAGTACATTGAGAAAAAACTTGAAAGTAATTCTGTAATTATACATGATTTAATTCCGAATTGCAGAATTGCAGAATTGCAGAATTGCAGAATTGAGGCTGTGCAAAGTAAAATAGAAGATGAAACAAGAAGTTCTAGATTTCAGATGGTGTAACCAACTTAATATAGTGGCGTTGAAAAGAACAGTAGAAATGTTCTAGAGAATAACCAAAAAAAGGCAAAAAAAGTAAATAAAGAAGATAAATATATAAATAAAAATTTAATGTAACGAAATACGTCATCCATCCATACATAACAGGCGTTGGCAGACATCGCCCGAACCAAATAAGGTTTATACAAATTTCGGCGATAAGAATATAATACCAAACTTTGGATAACAGGAAATGATGGAGAAAAGCCTCAAACATACTCAAATTAATAAGTTACAAATAATAACAAAAATTGAAAGAATTAAACCAATAAAAAAAAACTAGGATAAATTATAGAAAAAATCGAACAAAAAAAATTAGACAAATAGAAATTGAACAAAAAAGGGACAAATCGAACAAAAAAGACCAAGATCGAATAAAATGGACAAATTAGGTAAAATGAATAAATTAGACAAATTAAAAAAATAGATTAACGTTAAATAAATAGGTTAAATAAAAAATAGATTAAATAATAAATAGAATAAAATTACTAAATTGAACAATAGGAAGTAAATAAGCAAAGAAAGATTTTCAATAGATTACAATCAATCGGCGACATTAAACCTTTAATACTTCGTTTTCATTATTGCTAATTAATATACAAATAGTTAAATCATAGATCCTAATTTTTCAATACAATAATAATCAACATAGAAATTTTTCAAGATTGAGATAATCACAATAATGGACATTTTTATCGTTATTAGTAAATCATCATCATTTTGAGTCTTATGATTCAAGAGCCATATTTAATATATTCCGTCATCGGTCTTTAATTATTTAGTGGTTATCCGGAGACGGCGGGTTTGTGGCGGTTCCCGTGGCAGTCATTAAACCGCTCCGGTAATACCATAATAAACTAAATAAATGTAAATAATTCCAAATCATACAATCTATAATAACGGACATCACCATCGTCCCGAGTATGTACATGCGTTAACTACTACAGAACTACTACAGAACTACTACAGAACTACTACAGACTAGGAAAGATTCACAATGATCGCCGGACATTCTCCGTACAATATTTTTTTAATAATGATTCATTATTTTGATCTAATGTTAGCTACTACGTATGTATGTATCAACATGAGTTCAACTTGGTCGCGCGTGCAAAAAAAAATTTATGTATAAATTTATGTATAAATGAATGTATAAATGAATGTATAAATGAATATATAAATGAATATATAAATGAATGTATAAAATGTAAGTACATATACGGGTTTTTTTTAGGTTCTTTTTTTTTAAAAAAATTAATTAATTCGGCTTATTGAAGTTATATTGATGTTATACGTATTGATGTTATATTGATGTTATACGTATTGAGTTATATTGATGTTATTGATGGCGTAAAATTAATAAAAAATAATTATTAAATGTTATTAAAGTATTATTAAAATATTATTAAAAAGTGATTAAATTTTATTAAATGCTGATGAGGTATAACTTCAAATACATATTTGGTCGACCAATGAATCAAGATTTTTTTAAGAATCGGTAATACAGAAATAAATTTTTTTAATATTTAGTTTACTAATTAGGAAAATGAAATGACCAAGCTTTCAAGTTATTTGCCAAATAAACAGTCTTTACTAATGAATAAATGAATTTAATTGGTCAGTTAATAAAGTGATATAATTAATAATTGGTAATGGTGCTAATGGTGGTAATGGATGAACACTTGACGACCTCCGCCACGTTTCGTTGGCTATGTCGTGATACGCACCATAAAGTATGAGAAACAGTGGGCCAAGGAAAACCAAATTTCGTGTGTTAAATTGACATGAGATTAGTTATATTAGTTATATGATTGTGATTAACATGATTGTGGTTAACGAACGACAAGAAACTTGTTTTGATTGCATACAAAGAAATTTATGTTCTAGTTAACAATCGTTGGTTGATATCTTTTCTTGATTTATTATTATTATTATTATTATTAAAATTATCGTTATTAATTCCTTATTGGTATTAATTTGCATAATTCAAGATAAAATCTGCAAGATGTAAGTACCAACGGTGCCAAGACACATGAATTTTACATTTGCTTATCATAATGTAATCGTATGATTTAATAAATTTATTCGTCTCGCTTTTGCTTCATGGTGTTCATGGTGGATTGATATATTTACTATTTACTATATTTACTACGGTATTATTGACTATTATTGACTATATTTTACTACGGTATTATTGACTATATATATTGAAACGTATAATATTGATATACGTATACGTATTACTTTTACACTATATATCGCTATATATCGCTATATATCGCTATATATCGCTATATATCGCTATACGTATATCGTATTACTTTTACACTATATATATACTTTTTATACTATTTTTACACTATTAATTTACACTAGTTTTACTAGATTACATTAGTTTTACACTAGTTTTGCACTAGTTTACACTATTTTTACGTTGTTTTTACACTATTTTTACACTAATTAAGTAATGCGTATGTACAATCATTGCTACGTAGCCGCTCATACCGAAGTACTACTCATAATGGATATTAATTAATAATTATTAGTATAATTAGTATAATTAGTATAATTAGTATAATTAATATAATTAATATCATTACCAATAATTTCAACGATCTCAGCATTCTTAATAATTTTCAATAAATTCTTTTAAAGCCAATTATACGATACCACGAGAGATGTTCTCACGTCAATAATGCATTTGTTTGTCTATATGTATTTGGCTACTGCTAATTTACTATCGTAATTATTGATTATATTAATGATACATGTCGCATATTTTGATATATTCCTTTATAAACCACAGCATGTATAAAATATATACTACGTGTTTACATGCGTGATAAGAGTGACCATACATGGGTAATTAGAATGGTCAAGATTACATCATCACAAAATAAGTTATTCGATTTTATGAATTTATTTCCTTTTTGTTTTTCTTGTAAAGAAGGGGTTGATAGAAATCATTGACTTTTTTAATCCGATGATCTTCCCAATTTTTATTTAAAAATATATTTTTTTTTACTTTATCCTTTTATATTTAATTTATTTTTTCTATTGTGTATTTATTTATTTCTATTTACTACTTTATTTGAGCCTATACTTACTCCTGATTTTACATTAATTTTATATATTTTATATATTTTATATATTTTATATTTTGCATGAGACTACTATAGTAAATTCCGAATAACTATATATATAAGCAGTAAATCCTTTTTTTTCCTCAGCTTTGTTTTTTGTTATCGACGAAAAGCGAAATCCTAATCGAAATAAAAATTATTAAAATTAATAATAATCAATTCAAAGCAACAGTCCTTCCAAATTATATAGTTTCAATTTTTCAAGTTCCAATTTTTCAATTTCGAAAAATCCATACGCGATACTATCTCGATGATAATTTAAAGACTATTGAAATTTATTAACAATTATTAAAAATTATTTAACTGGATTTTTTTTCAAAAATTCAACTTGATCGTTATCCTACGTTTATTATTCTTTTATATAAAAACCATTCATTTCCTCTTGTCAAGTTTTTATCTGTCAAGTTTAGTAACTAAACTTAACTAAACTTTGACACGGTCAACGAAAGCTATCGTTAATATACAAGGATAACTATCTGCTTCGTTTACTCAACATAATGATGGATACTGATGCAGCTTTGAAACTCTTGGTTAGCAGTCCTATAACTCCTCAAATGATTGGTAAGTTTTCATCCTCTTTAACTTGCGTTTTTAATTTGGCTTTTTAACTTGCGTTTTTAACTTTGCTTTTTAACTTGCGTTTTATTAGCTCACGTCGCTCGAAAAGCTGCTGAAGTAATCCCATGCGACCCGCCACCAACTAGTCAACAGCAAGCCTCTCAGTTGGCAAATATAGCACGAGCTCTTGGTGATGATAATCAACCTTTACCCCCTTTGATAACATTTATACACCGATTAGTAGTAAAATCGAATGTTTCAACTGCTA